ACTTTTATTTCTGTATAATACACATATTTACCACTACATTAAGATTTTTTTATATTGAATTGACAGATATATGTTAAAAACCAATGTTTTGTGAACCGCTCATCACTGTGGCTTAATCTCGTACCCAAAAGCTACCAGGAATGAGAAAAAAAATTTCTTCAGGAATTTTTTTGTTAAACCAAGGTGTTGTTAAAAAAAAAAAAAGTCATTATTTATTATTTATGTTTTTACAGTACTGTTTTAGTATTGAACAAGACTGGGGAAACGGTTGTTTTTACCCTGAGTTATGATGATGGTAGCTGCAGCCGCTAGAGATGGTAACCACCAGTTATAATCTATCCAAAAATTATTTGGGGTCAACAAAGAACAAAATAGGTAGGGTCATTATATCAATTCAGAAATTAGAAATTACATTGAGCTTTTTGTGCCCCCACTTTTAGGGGGGGGGGGCTTTTAGCTTTATCCTTTTCCGTCCTTTCCATCCGTCAGTCCGTCCGCACTACCAGATTAGGGATAGGGGGGCCATCTGACTGTAAACAGAACAAAAGAGAAAAAAAGAATTCATTCAATAACAATAGCAATAAGGGGTTCATGGCCCCTCTATTAAAATAAAAGAAAATAACTAGATATGGCCCTTTATCCCTATTTTCGTCTGATGTCCCATCCTTCTATCCGTCTATTCTCATTTTGTGTCGCACATATCTCAAAAACTATTTGACCTAGGAGTCATGAAACTTCACAGGAATGTTGCTCAGCATGTGTTGTTGTGCACAACTGGGGTTTCGCTTGTGGATTTTTTGCTGTTAGTCAGAGTTATTGCCTTTCACTTAATAAAAATTTGCAATTATTAACTTGTGTCACAAGTAGCTCAAAAAGTATTTGACCTAGGGTCATGAAACTTTACAGGAATGTTAATCAGCATGTGTAGTTGTGCACATGGGTATTTTCCTGTGGATTTATTTAGTACTTGTAGAGTTATTGCCAATTTACTTGGTGAAAATTTGCAATTTTCCAACTTGTGTTGCATGTAGCTCAAAAAGTATTTGACCTAGAGTCATGAAACTTAAAAGGAATGTTGGTCAGCATGTGTAGTTGTTGCACCTGGGGTTTTCACTTGTGGATGTATCCAGTATTTCTAGAGTTATTGCCCTTGACTTAGTAAAAAACTGTTCCCTTATAATGTATCATTTGTTCCCTTGATTGCTTGATTAGAATCAAACCAACTTAACAGGAATAATGATCAAACATCACTGTGGAGCTATGCACCTGGGGTTTTGCATGTGGATTTTTTTCAGTTTTGTTAGAGTTATTACCCTTTGTTTTTAATATAAATTTGCAGTTTTCAACTTGTTCATGCATAGCTCAAAAATATTTGATCTGTAGGCTTGAAAAATTACAAGAATGTTAGTCAGCATGTGTACTTAGTATATGTTAGTGTTCATCCGTGCTGTCTACAGAAATTAGAAACTTCAACGGGAGCGATAGCGACAGGAGAATGTTTCTAATTTCTGTAGAACAGCTACGGATGAATACTTACATACTTAGTGTCAAGCTTTATTTGGCCTCATTATCATTCACTTTAGTATGTCACTATGCGGTTCTATGAAGTACTATGAAAAATAGAAATTGACTATGAACAGAATTTGATATATTATCGACTTTTATACGTCTATGAAAATTAACGCACAGAATTTTTAAGAAATACAGCGTTTTCATTGGATGACAAATAAAGTTGGGCACTAATGCACCTTGGGGTTTGCTTGTGGATTTATTCAGTATTTGTAAAGTTCTTGCCCTTTACTTAGTAAAAGATTTTTAGTTTTCAACTTGTGGCACATGAAGCCCAAAAAATATTTGACCAAGAGTCATAAATTGACGAAACAGTGGAGTGTGGGGGGCACCTGTGTCCTATGGACACATTTCTAGTTATTATATAACTTTAATATGTCATATGGTATAGTAAATTTTGGTTTCTTTATACATGTGATTGATTAATGACAAGCTTTACACTTGAACACTTAGGTACAGTGTAGTGTTTTTTATACAAATAACATCATAATAATCATCATATCAGTGAAACACAAATACACTAGCAAACTGATTTATATAAAGAGTGTAAAACTTTGTAAAACTGTGAAAAAAATTATGCACGTAAATGAGCATTCTTTTGTTAATAGTGCGAATGTTTGTAGAAACCCCCAAAATGCACTGTGAAAATATTCTTCTGCGAATTCAAATACACATACAGTAATCTTTTGCAATATATCATTTCCCTTTGTTAAACTTACAGTATTTGGTGTACAATAATTGGTCTAGAGGAAGATATCAGAGATTTGAAGACAAAATCTGCTGGACCATTGGATCTGTATATGAAATGAACTGTCTGATGCTCGGGTCATAATCCCTATGTAAAACAGTTGACCTATATTGGGAAAGAGTATCAATTCTACAGGCAAACTTTTAATGGCAAACCTTCATTATGGGCTAGCACTTTATCAATCCTAACACATTGGAGTATGTTCCAGTAACAGTGAAAGAGGGATGGTGAGTATTTAATTAGATAAACTTTGTATGTACTGATTAATTAATAATTTGTATGAGAGATTGTGGCGTTCTGGCTTATCAAAATTTGTAAGAACAAGATGAATAGTTAAGAGCATGTATTTGAGCCGCGTCATGACAAAACCAACATAGTGCGTTTGCGACCATCATGGATCTAGACCAGCCTGCGCATTCGCACAGTCTGATTAGGATCCATACTGTTTGCTTACCAACTCTATAAGTAAAGAAACTGATAGTGAACACCATAGATCCTGATCAGACTGCGCAGATGCGCAGGCTGGTCTGGATCCATACTGTTTGCAAACGCACTATGTTGGTTTTGTCGTGACGCGGCTCATTTAAGTTTTTATACCCCCACAAACGAAGTTTAGGGGGGGTATATAGGAGTCAGCTTGTTGGTCGGTCGGTCCACATTATGGTTTCCGTACGATAACTAGAGTTTGGAATGAGGTATTGTAATCAAACTTGGTATATAGCAACCTTATTTGGAAACTCCGGTTGGTATTGCATTTGGACCCCCTGGGGTCAAGGTCACCATTACTAAAAATAGAAAAATGGTTTCCGGACAATAACTAGAGTTAGGAATGAGATATTGTTATCAAACTTGGCGTATAGCAAGCTTATATGAAGACCTGGGTTGGTATTGCATTTGGGCCCCCTGGGGTCAAGGTCAAGGTCACCGTTACTAAAAATAGAAAAATGGTTTCAGGACAATAACTAGAGTTAGGAATGAGATATTGTTATCAAACTTGGCGTATAGCAAGCTTATATGAAGACCTGGGTTGGTACGAGGGCTGTCCAAAAAATTCGTGCCCTGCAGTAATTGTCGTGAGAGTTTTTGATAGAAAAACGTTAATTATATATCACTTGAAGGGGAGATCTGTCTCAAATGAGAAAACAAAAGAAAAAAACGTTTAACCGGCATGTCGTGAAAACGAATCGTCATACAGTTACCTTGGTAACGTTATACCGGCGCACGACAAAAAATTGGGTTAGTTCATTACTTTTATGCATCAGGGTGTTCTTTAAACACTACACATAAACGTAAAAATTCACGGAAAGTATGTGTACGCATTCCTAACATCACTATAAAATATGACGTTGTTTGCCTTATTGTAACAGTCGTTAACACACATTTGTGTGAGGTCGTCAATGATTTAATTATGTGAAAATGTCAGTCGCTAAACGTCTGGAAATACGGACGATCATTACATTTTGTGCAAATATTGGTAAAACACAAACAGATACCTACAAAGATCTTAAAAAGGGCAAACGGGGACAAGTTCAGTGTCACGAAGGCTGATTTTTAAATGGCACAAACGCTCTGTAGAAGGGCGAGAGTCGGTAGACGATGACAACCCGTCAGGCAGACGTCCGTCCGTAATGCCGGACTATGTGACGAGGGTTGTCCAATATATTCGTTCACTGGTGGGATATGTTACATGGTCGTTGCATAAGAACAATAAAAACTACAAAATGCTTTGCATCAATCATTCTTCTTTTGACAGTAAAACAAATTATAACATAAACAGCAAATGTCACTTTACAAGCAACAAACAATGAATACAATTACAGTAATGAACTAACCCAAATTTTTGCCGTGCGCCTGTATTACGTTACTAAGGTAACTTAATGACCATTCTTTTACACGACACGCCGGTTACCTGGCTTTTTCTTTTGTTTTCTTATTTGAGACAGATTTCCGCTTCAAGTGATATATTATTCATTTGTTTTTATTAATAACTCTCACGACAATTACTGCAGTGCACGGATTTTTTGGACAGCCCTCGTATTGCATTTGGGCCCCCTGGGGTCAAGGTCACTGTTTACTAAAAATAGAAAAATGGTTTCCGGACAATAACTTGACTTAGGAATGAGATACTGTAATCAAACTTGGTGTATAGAAAGCTTATATGAAGACCTGGGTTGGTATTGCATTTTGACCCCCTGGGGTCAAGGTCACTGTTACTAAAAATAGAAAAATGGTTTCCGGACAATAACTAGAGTTAGGAATGAGATATAGTTATCAAACTTGGCGTATAGCAAGCTTATATGAAGACCTGGGTTGGTATTGCATTTGGGCCCTCTGGGGTCAAGGTCAAGGTCACTATAAATAGAAAAATGGTTTCCAGACAATAACTTGACTTAGGAATGAGATACTGTTATTAAACTTGGTCTATAGCAAGCTTATATGAAGACCTGGGTTGGTATTGCATTTGGGCCCCCTGGGGTCAAGGTCACCGTTAGGAAAAATAGAAAATTATTTTTCGGACAATAACTAGAGTTAGGAATGAGATATTGTAATCTAATTTGGTGTAAAGGAAGCTTATATGAAGACCTGGGTTGGTATTGCATTTGGCCCCCTAGGGTCAAGGTCACTGTTACAGTGTTACTAAAAATAGAAAAATGGTTTCCGGACAATAACTAGAGTTAGGAATGAGATATTGTATTCAAACTTGGTGTATAGGAAGCCTATATGAAGACCTGGGTTGGTATTGCATTTGGACCCCCTAGGGTCAAGGTCACTGTTACAGTGTTACTAAAAATAGAAAAATGGTTTCCGGACAATAACTAGAGTTAGGAATGAGATATTGTATTCAAACTTGGTGTATAGCAAGCTTTTTTCGAGACCCCAGTTGTGATTACAATTAATTGAAATATTTCTTTGTACACACTTGATAGTTTGTGTTCAAATTTTTCTTCAGACTACTTTTTTTTCAAAAAGTCAAAGTTGCCGGTGGGGGTATTAATCACCTTCATTGATAGGTCTAGTTTAATATACTTTGATGTAACATTAACAGCAAATTACATTTACACTATCATATCTTTCAATTTCTTACATCATTTATTTTGCGAAGTTTGATAATTTATATAGAATTTTTGTGCTGTCCCGTCTTACCTTTTGAAATGCATGCATCAATGTTGGGATGCTGTTTGCATTTAGACTAAATTTTATTGGTTGCTATTCAATATTAGAATCAAGGCAGGCGAGCTGTGCCCTTGTGGTTTAGATGCCCTCTTCTTAACCTAGGAATCATAGGTTTATGGCATAAAAGGATGTCATGTGACACCAGTACTGGTTAGTCTCAGGGTGGTTTAGATAAGTTTCTGCTTTCATCAGTATATATATATTTAAACTTAACTAGTATTAATACTATTGTACTGAAATACATTAGAATATACTAATTGGCTGCATCAAATTTAGAGCATTTCCTAATAATTTCCTAGTACTGATTTGGGACTTGAAGAGATATATGTACATATGGATATTGCTATGTTACAAAGTTCTGTTGCCTGTATGTGATAAAAAAAAAAAACTAGTGAAACAAACTACTTTGAAGGAACTCCACTGCGGTTTAAAAGCTTAAAACATGAAATATGAATTCCTAACATAAATCAGATGGGGCACTTAACATTTAACTATACGCAAAAGATAGTGAAAAAAATATACGAAAAATATTGTTAATCTTATTTTTGCGTTATTCTAAGCCCGATTTGAGTAAATGCAACGCTTTTCAATTTTCAGTCATTTTTCACAATAAAAATGATAATTTTGGAAAAACAGAGTATTATTAGATGATCTGAAATTTTGCACACGAGTCATTGTTCTACCTTTTCATGAAATGGAACATCAATCTCGAAACATTGTTTCCAGTCTCATCGTGTCAGTGGAGTCGTTTTAACTTGGTAGATTAAACACAATAGGGTTCCTCCTTTCTCTGCTCTTGAAGTCCCTGTTTCAAATTTTTGTATTGGTGTCCATCTAGGTGTGTTGCTGGTGTGGCTGGGATATATCAGGTGCTGTGTTCAGTGATTGTCACCATGTTGACCATTGTTCTCATTCTTTTAACTTAATATATATTTTATATTTAATATTGATAGATAGATACTGTTATAAAAAGAAAAGAACAATTTCCTCTGAATTTTGTTTAAATCTATAAAGTACACATTTGTAAACAATCGGCAAAAAAACCCACCAAGAATACCATGGCTTTTGCCAATATGAATGTTTAAAACTCTACACACTACAGGTAATCACAGTATGATTACAAAGTGTCATTAAAAAAAAGCCTGGTATTTTTTTTATAAGAAATTAGACCATTTGACAAGTTATAGGGAATGCAGCTTGCAAAACATAGTATACACTCACTTATTCAAACTACACATATTCAGGAAGAATTAACTAGTTTTCAATAAATTTCTGCAATAAAAGTATTTTACCCAAAGATAAGCATAGTTATAATAAGTTTTCAGGTTGTAATTTGATATCTTCTTGTTTTTGAGTGAATACATTAAAAGCCAAAAATAGTTTTTAAATTTATTCCATAGATGATTGTAATAAAATGGTTTACAGCATTAACTATTATACAAACAAGCACAATGAGATGAACTATTGTCCTTTTAAAATGCAATATGTAGGATATTATATAACATCCATTAATGAAGTTTCTTTTTATCTCAAAATGTAACAACTTTTGTTATCTTCCTTGATAATCACATGCCCTGTATGGCACTGGATAACTATGTTAAGTAACATCTAGTTCTGAGCGATTTCTTCATGTTGAAGTCACCTGTCTGTATCTCAAGAATGATAAAAATGAGCCGTGTCATGACAAAACCAACGTAATGCATTTGCACCCGCACAGTCTGATCGGGATCCATGCTGTTCGCTATCAGTTTCTCTACTTGTAATAGGGTTTGTAAGCGAACAGCATGGATCTTGACCAGACTGCGGGGATGCACAGACTGGTCTGGATCCATGCTGGTCGCAAACGCATTACGTTGGTTTTGTCATGATGCGGCTCAAATGTGGTTACGATAATCAGTGTTACCTATTACCTTATGATTCAATCATGTACCCACCTCTTTCGATATTTGATACATGTATTCATATTGAAAATATACTTATTTCCTGCTCATTTTATTTGATGTCTTTCAGGGGGAAAAATAAAACTTGGATGCAGCTCATGCAAAACAATTATTTTTATGCCCCCGGGCATATAGTAATTGAACCGTCCGTCCGTCTGTCTGTCCGAGCAAACATTTTGGGTTTAGGGGCTATACAACAGTAAAGAGAACAATAGGTTCATTCCGTGATCAAAGGGTTTAGGGGCTAGTAGCCCTTAAGAAAACAAACTTTAAGAAAATAACAAAGAAAATAGCCCCTAAAGCCAAAATGTTGGAACGTCCGTCCGAGCAAACATTTTGGGTTTAGGGGCTATATAACAGTAAAGAGAACAAAAGAGAACAATAGGTTCATTCCGTGATCAAAGGGTTTAGGGGCTAGTAGCCCTTAAGAAAACAAAGAAAATAACAAAGAAAATAGCCCCTAAACCCAAAATGTTGGAACGTCCGTCCGTCTGTCCGTACGAGGTTAACCTAGAACGGCAAGTTTGATTTTTCTTAAGTTCTACCTGTATCAATGGCTTCTTAGTTTACACACTTACTAATCAATACAAAGTACATGATCTGGTCAAGTTACATAACTATGGCTTCCATATTTACCAAGTTATTGCCCTTTTCAGCACTTAGAAATTTAATAATGGTTAACCTAAAACAGCAAGTTGGAAATATCTTAAATTCTATCTATACTAATGGCTTCATAATTTCCACACTTACTTATCAATACAAAGTACATGATATTGCCAAGTTATATAACTGTGTCATCCATATTTCCCAGTTATTTCCCTTTTTACACTTTGAAAATAGGGCCTTGTCTGGTTAACCTATTCCGGCAAGTTGGATTTATCGTAAATTTCTCTTAATTGCTTAATTTATTTTATGATATCTTGCATATTTGGTAGGTGGATACCTTTAATGGTCCTCTAATTTTTTGTGGAGTAAGTGGTCTCTAGGGTCAAGGTCAAGGTCACTGGTTTAGAAAATAAATTTAAACATTTTTGCTCGTACAGCCTTTATTTTTTGGTTGATGTCTTTCATGTTTAATACAAACATGCCAAGGGAGGTCCTCCTTCTTTGGGTATAGTAAGGGGTCATTTGGGTCAAGGTCAATGTCACCAATGTCAAGGTCACCAATGTTAAAAATAGATTTTTACATTTTTATAGGTGTATTAACCATATTCTATAGACAGATGTCATTTATAATTGATAGGAACATAAAATTTGATGGAGTTAGTGGTCAGTTGGGTCAAGGTCACCAGTGCTAAAAATAGATTTTTACACTTTTGCTCATACAGCCTTTATTTATTGACAGATATATTTCATATTTGGTAGGAAGATAACTTGCATGTTATTCTTTCTCTGGATGGAGTTAGGGGTCAGTTGGGTCAAGGTCACAAGTGCTAAAAAAAGATTTTTACACTTTTGCCCATACAGGCTTTATTTATTGACAGGTGTATTTCATATTTGATAGGAAGATAACTTGCATGGTATTCTTCCTTTTGATTGAGTTAGGGATCCGTGTGTCAAGGTCACTAGTGCTAAAAATAGATTTTTACACTTTTGCTCATACAGCCTTTATTTATTGACAGATATATTTCATATTTGGTAGGAAGATAACTTGCATGTTATTATTTCTCTGGATGGAGTTAGGGGTCAGTTGGGTCAAGGTCACAAGTGCTAAAAATAGATTTTTACACTTTTGCCCATACAGCCTTTATTTATTGACAGATTTATTTCATATTTGGTTGGAAAATAACTTGCATGGTATTCTTCCTTTGGATGGAGTTAGGGGTCAGTTTGATCAAGGTCATCAATGCTCAAAATAGATTTTAACATCTTTGCCCATACAGCCTTTATTTATTGACAGGTGTATTCATATTTGGTAGGAAGATAACTTGCATGATATTCTATAGGTGGCAGTGGGTCAAGGTCAAGGGTGCCAAGTATAGATTTCTTACATTTATATATATTTGATAAAGTTGAATATTTATCACTTCACAAGTCATAACAATGACTTGGCAACTTATATATTTCAAAATTACAAAATGCCATGACTCTGTCAAGCTATATAACTTGTGTTAACAATTTTTTGGCAATGTTTCTGTCCATAACTGAGTGAATGGGTAAACATTGTTTGAAATATTGCTACCGACAAGAATCGGAGCCGGGGACATTTGTGTTTAACAAACACGTTCTTGTTTCTTCCTGTAATATCATTTCAAAATTATTTGTTTTAGATCATATGATAAGCTGCTTTTTCATGTTGATACTGTACATGTTATTAAATATAAATTTTCATTTTCTACCTATGAGTTAACCAGACTTACAGTCTAAGTAAGATTAATCATTTATTCTAGAGTCTAATATGTGATGTTTGATATGAGAGAATATGCAGCATTGTGATTTGTACGATGGTTAATTGATGCATTGTAGCAATGTAAAGCATCATCCAATGCATATTCCTGCTCCAAACATTGTGCAAGTAAATTTAGGGCTGTTTCTTTGTGTCCAAGGTTTGGCTCAGTGGCTATGGCTTGTCTAAGCTTGTCAACAGCCATCAATTTCCTTTCTCTGTTACCTTGATGGGAAAAGACTTTGTATTGTAAGAAATGGAAAAAGGGGATAGAGTCTACTACAGCCCAGTCCATCCAATCGTCATGCTGCCCTCTGGAATGATGCATGCCCGATGCTGTGCGAAAATACTCCTGTTTTAGCTCCTCCGGGACACAGTTTACTTCACATGGTAGGAACCTGACACAAAAAGCTGTGTGCTTTAATGCATGTTTTATATCACCTTCATGACAAACTTCCTGAAATTCATGTTTTCGCCTTCCTCTATCTGGACTCTGGTAACAACCACAAACAGATTGCAAATGTTCAATGCTATATTGTTGATCTATTTGATCAAGTATGCTTTTAGTCTGAGGGATGTCTCCTTTACAGTAAAACACTGATGCTTGTTTTAAGCTACATGAGAAATCAGTCATTGAACCTTGTTCTAGTATAAGAAGAATGTTTTCTGTAATTGGTTCATTCCTAGAAACACACCGAGAAGCAAGAACTGATCCATGTGACATGTATAAGAAGGATGATAGGACAGTACAGGCTGTCTTTGCAGTGTCATCACCTTCAGGATAATTGCTTACAAGCTTGTCAATATATTGTGATAAAGTTTGAACAACAGTTTCAGTTTTGTAATCTGTCAAAGTAGAGATGATTTCCTTAATGCGTGCACTCAAACCTAGCATGAAATTATAAAGCAGGTGTTCTGATACTGATTGTGTCATTGTAGGCCCTGGTAGATCTACTTCAGATATATAAGTGTGGTGAGCATTTTGAAACTGTATCAAACTTAATCTTATACCAAGCTGGTCAATTTGGATTTCATTTAAAGCATTACCATCACTATCTAAAATATATTGTAGTGTGGCAAGAATTTGTGGTTTGATGTCTGGTGGAATACGTCTTGCCATCAGGTTGTTTTCCCGTAAAATAAAGTGTGGGCAATGCTCTAACAAAACACAGTCATGCAGAAATTTTAAGCAAATATTCAAACAGTTTAGTAAGTTATCATCTTGCCAGAGATTTTCTCCTTCTCTTTCAATGCAATGAAGGAGTACTGTTTTACAGATGAAACTTGATAAAGCATCTTCAGAAACAAGGGTCTGGTAAGATTTTAGAATCATTTTCATTAAAACATAACACCTGATTTGAACTATGTTTAAGCTGAACATCAGCCTGCGTTCTGTTAATGATGTTGATATTCTCCATTGAAATTCCTCATTTTCAGTACCATGCAAACCAACCGGTACAACAAAACATCCATCATTCATAGCTTGCCTCTTTAATTCTTCAGGAGGCCAATCCCCAGGTCTTGTTGTATTTATCCACTGTCTTGCCTCCTTTGGCCATGATTTACAATAGAATGCATGCACAGTGTCATCATCGAAAAATCCTTGTAAACCGCGTGTAGACAATGATGGTCCATGTCTTACAGTACCCGCAGGCATTCTATCTACAAACCAGTCATTCCTTACAAGGTCTCTTCCAGTTTGTATATGAACAACTGGGCTAGGATCATTGTCATATATCTCTTGTAGAAGACAATACCCTGGAGGTGTATTAGGATCATGCACCATCAATAGATTTTTATATCCTACACGCCACTCTGCAAGATCTTGTATAATATTTAAACGGTTGTCTGAAACAAGAGTGTCAGTATCTGAAAGAAGCCCTACTGTTGTGGTGCCTTCTGTCTGGCTCCCAAAACTATATATCGTTACTTCCTTCCCTAGCATTTTTTGCTGTATTATTTTAATAGTTTCATTTGCCAACATAATTTCTCTCCTTTTTCTAACCGTGGCATCACTTACACCAATGTCATTTAGCACTTTAGATAGTCGCAGTGAAAAACTCCTTGTATGGTTGGGTATGTCAGACATCCTGCAAGAGAGAGAGACAATTTATAATTACATGTATTCCAATTTCATGTTTATTTCTAAAACTCTGAATTCTGGAAACTTTCACAATACGAAGTCTTTGACTATACTCCCACAGGTGTTTGGTTTTCTGATGTTACACTGTATTAATGCATATCTATGAAACACTAAAGTTGACTTCAACATGCTAGCCAGGTTGTCATTCTCATGAATGATCTTTAAAAACAAACACTTTCCTGGAAATACTTTTAAATTATAATATCTCACCAACTAAGCGCAAATAATATTCTTTCAGTTTGATGAACTATAAGTAATAGTTACCATACGAGGAATAGGTCTGCATAGTATTTACAGACCCGGCTGGCGATTTGAAGACCGAGAGAGCATAGTGATTGAAGTTTTTCAAAGGCCACCGGGTCTGTAAATACTATGCAGACCTAGGGGCAGGGTGGGATGGGTGTCCAAACACTGATACTGTCACCTGTGCCTTTATTAAAATGAAATGTAAATTAGGTAATATCTTTACAAATAATGCTTTTTAAAAACGGAACACTTTATCTTTATATATAATACATTTCATGGTAAATAGATGATCAGGCTATTTCTTATATAATTAAAGTATACGATTTTTTCAAAGGAAAGTAAAAGACTGGCTTCTATGAATAAATATTAGTAATACATGTAGTTATACCGTCATGTAAGTTGGGTTTTGTTGTTGTTGTTTTTTATGATGGCTGATTTTAAATGTTCTTAGAATTTCATCCATGTTTGGAAGAGTTTTCTTTCGGTGTATTCTTAATTAGCATCATCCGTTATTCATATGTTTGATAAGACCGCCTGTAAGCACGCGGTCTAGAATGGAAGCGTAAGTCTTATTCTTGTGAAGAACAGGCAAGTACTGGTATACAAAATTAAAATTGTAATGTAAAAATAACGGGGAAAAAAATGAGAAAAACAGTCTTAATACTTAAGATGAGCTATACTCTCAATGAAAGAAATATTTTGGGAAAGAAAGATGCAGAAGTTGACTTTTATTCGATATGCACCAATAAGATAATCGTCGTATTACATCCCACAATGCAGAATTGTTAAATAAAGCAGGATTGTGCATATTCATACATAGTTGTGGAAATAAATGCCGAAAACTAGTATCTTATGAAGTTATATAGTTCGGCAAATGTGTTAGATAAACCGAAAAGCAAACTTTAAAGAAAGGTCAAATGTGCATTGTTGTACTCATTTAAATATCTGCGAAACACAAACTTCAATGCCAGAACAGTAGCCAGTTCGTTTTTCTCACAGATAATCTGGAATATATGTTATGAGGGTCCTTACAGGCGTATGCGCTAATTTATTTCTATTAATCTTTAACATATATATCGCCCCTTTTTCCAATTCACAGTGGTCATTACCCCCCCTCCCCTCCCCCCTTTCTATAATTCAGCATTATTTTACAGTGAATATTGTGTACTGTAATGCACGAGTTTCTCGATTTTACATATTTTCTATTGTATAGACAACAATAGAACATAAACAGGTCAGTATATATTTGCAGACCTTTTAAGCGGTCGGTAAGTGATTTACTAGACCGCTTTTAACAAAAGAGCCGATAGGTAAATATGCTTACCATTCAAGGTGCTTGTTTCTACCATAAAATTGCACTGTTCTGCTTTACTGTTTCACAATTTGTGCATTATTTTCACATTCTCTCTTTACTGAATATACATTGTGTGTATTTTCAACAGTATAAATGTCCCAAGGTAAAAATTATTGATAATATAATAAAGGTATAGAAGCTTCTAAAAACATGTCACATTGAAGTCTAAATGTCAAGCTTAAAAACCATGTAGAAAAATATAATATAAAAGATACATGTTTGCTTTCTCATAACTTTGCCCAAGTTTGTTTTATGCATCTTTGATAAAACCTTAGTTAAAATATACTCACATTCATGCATAATTCATAAATAATCTCTCTGAGTTCTTATTTCATCTCTGTTCTTTTGTCAGAAGATAGGACTGGTGTGATTAAAAAAACATCATTTCAACACGGCTCATTTATAGTTCATCAAACTGAAAGAATATTATTTGCGCATAGTTGCTTTTACATTAAGATGATGAGATTGAAATCATTACCTTTACATAATTAGCTTCCTGATCATACCAAAATAAAGGGGTGTCAATTCAAAGGGAAAATATTGAATTTTCTTTCCTCTTCATGATTTTATTTCCATAAGGATTTTGTTTATTCTTCCAAAAAATTAATATCTGTAACATGAACTCCTGTAATTTTAATTGTTTCAAGGGTTTAGATATTATCACTGAAAAATTGTGTGAACACTTACATTTAGCATTCAGTCTTACATTTTTCAAATACATTGTAATCATTAAAAGACATTCAATGTTGTAACTGTGTGGTGGTGATGAGTAACGTGTTAGGTCATCATGACCCTCATATTTAAGTCAACATTTCATCCTCATTCTTTCATTCTTTATTTCCGTACTGAGACTATCCAACTTTTCAGTTTTCACCACAGAATTTATATACTGTGTACATGTATTTTAGAGCAAATTTTCATTATTTTTGGTCTTGGTTTCATTTTTATTTTTTTTACAGAGATTAAAATTTAACTTACAAAACTGTTTTTATAAAAGAATTTCTAATATTTTTACTTAGCCTGCCTTTGGTCTTGGTGATAAAGAGAAAACAAAAAAAGCAGAAATCAAGCTAAATGTTATACATGTAATTGTAATGAAATCATAACAAAATAAAACTTCAATAAGATCATAATTTTATAATGATTTGACTTAAAATTCTGAAATAATTTAAACTTTTTCAAGAAAATGTGAAAGTGAAATTAATGATTTTCAAAGTGCCTCATGCCTTGAGTTTTTCGATGTTTCAAAGATGAATATTTACTAGGTAACACTTTAGTAAGAACAAATCCATTGATTAAATAATGCAGACCGACAATTATTGTCAATATGCAAAGTTTCATGGAAAAAGAAGATATCAACTTTTTGAGATATCAACCTAGTCCGGGAAATTTTTGACTTTACATTATATACATTAAACATATAAGAGTGGATCCCATACTCATTTACATAGAGAAATGATCATGTTTTTTCCCATGTCTTCTTAAGTACCAGGGTATTATCTTCACTAAATTGACTATCTGGTTTCATGTATTTCAATTGTACCAAAGTCAATTTCAAACCAAGAATGTCACTAATTTTCCTTACAGGACAACATTTTGTGTTTTTTAAGAACTGATGTAACACATTCTAGGAGATTTGAGCCGCGTCATGACAAAAGTAACATAATGCGTTTGCGGCCAGCATGGATCCAGACCAGCCTGCGCATCCGCGCAGTCTGATCAGGATCTATGCTGTTCGCTTTCTAACCCTTGTAGAGAAACTGATAGTGAACAGCATGGATCTTGATCAGACTGTGCGGATGCGCAGGCTGGTCTGGATCCATGCTGGTCGCAAACGCATTATGTTGGTTTTGTCATGATTTGGCTCATTTGGTTGTGTTACTTTCAGTAGTCTGCTGTGTGTCTTATCCGATACACTGTTGCCCCGGATTCTTCATCTGTTTAAAGTTATATTTATTTTATATTTTATATTTATTTATTTTAGTTTGATTGTGTTGGAAGCTATAGCTTATTGAAACACTCTCGAATCCGTTCCTGGAACCAACCAGTACTAAGCAATGAATAAAAAGTTTCTTGCTCAAGGAAACAACGGATTGCCCCTGACAGGGTTTGAACCCACATGGTCAGCAATCCTTAGATTACTAGTCCAACATGTTAACCACTTGACCACATCAGTTTGTTTGCCTTTTCTACAAACTCTTTAAACAGCTCTAGTATTATATCCTTTATGTTATATTAGATAGAGTAGACAAATAACAATACAACAACATTTTATATAACTTTTTCAGTGGGAAGCATTTTGAATTTACCAAGGATAATAATGCTATGAAAGGGGATTTTGAAAATATTGAGATCCTTACAGAAAAAGCATTCCTGGACGATCAAAGGCCTGTGTATCGTGTAGTACTTGGTGTACAAAATAAAGTGTTTGTTCTAGAAATGACTAATCAACATGAAGACACTGTTCACCTAGAGATGATATTTTGTGTAGATTTGCCAGGTCTACCAAAGGAAGCTTGCTTGGTTGGCAAACAGGGTAAGTTGAGAATTAAATCCATTTAGAAAATTTGAATTATAGATAAAAAAAAAATTTCTTACATACAAAAATTTCTTAGAAATAGGTACGAAACCAATTGAGTTGAATACTGCATTAGTATTGGACCCAAAATGATGAAAGTTTTATTATTTATTGACCTCAGAAAATTAAAATCTATAAATTAGTACTAGGCTCAAAAAGATAGTTAGTGCATCAGAAAAAGATTGAGTAAAATAAATTTCTACAAAAAAAAATGTAATAACAAAACCCTTGACCTGCTGAATTTCTTAAATGGACTTTTCCAATTTTCATTTCGGAACAGTTCATTGTCAATTTTAGGTATATCAAGGTGAGAATTTGAAGTTGGCCAGCCATCAGTATAAAACCTTTGTGCTGACCTGTCTCTAATTACTGTTTGTTCTAACAGTTTAAGGGCTAATGAAGACAATGATATTTTATATAAAATGTTGTCTTGAATTTTAATTTTCAAAGGATTACTTACAGCAGATATCAGCTATCATATGCTCTCTATTTATAGTTGGTATGATGATTTCGTTAACTCAGCATAACGATGATACAGATGAGTATTATCGGGAGCACGTGTTTTACTTTGATTTTGACGGCCTCCTTCATGGTGTGTTATTGTGCCTGGGTCATGGTCCAAGGTCATTCTTTCCTGTATATCTCCATGGTAACACAGAGAATGAAGGTCAAAGTGAAGGACAGTCTCAAGCAGGATGGCATGTTTATCTAAGAGATGGACGAGATGGTATCATGTGTTTACGTCTGCATTAAAGTGACATGTCGGCCATTAGCATCTACAAGTTTGGAACATCTCATCAATTTTGCCATAATTTTATAGCTATCAAATGTTCAAAAATAAGACCAGAAACAGATAAATTTTTTCTTCACTGAAATGGACAAAGTCAGCTGATTTTATATTGGCTGTTTCTGAATGGTGTAATAACAAACAGGGATTGCTGCAATTGTTTTATTTATAAATTAACTCATTCTGGCACTAAAATGACAGTAAAATGATGTCTAATGAATCCATCAGAAGAATGTGACTAGTTGAAGGTCACTTTGATCTTGGAGACGGGACAGATTGTAATGTAGTTTACTTCATTACACGATTTTCAATAAATTACTTAAATAATAATTTGAATTATATTTTGATAATTAAACTGTAGCAGAACTATATTTAAATGCAGATGAAAAGTATAAACACATTGTATCATAAATGAATGAAAATATCAGCAGAAATACACTTCATTATATGTAAAATGTATGTCCTGATTTGATGGTGTCATAAAATAGAGCATATTAAATCATGGGACAAATATCAGTATTACATTGTATTAATTAATTAAAATCAATAGAACAAAGCATGGAATTTATAGGATATTTGTTTGTGACAAGTAGAAGATTAATTTATATTTCACTGGCAAAGACTTCTAAAGCTATATTTTCTTCTGTGGGTAAGCCAGTGATTGCATATAGATCTATAAATTATTTCATCAATACATGTAAAACACTCTTGTGTACATTACATATATCGTGGGCTTAGCGCAAAACGGTTGTAACTCACTTTTTTCCACAAAATAACAGTTTTAACATTTTCAATGTATTTTGTGGTTATGCATATCCTCAGTAAGTATTTTAAATGGATTCTGAAAATTAACAAGTTAAATCAATATTTGTCAAAAGGTTGTATCTCAAATTGCTCTTAAATTTCAGTGCAAAATGGTTGTATCTCAAGTTACAACCTTTTTGCGCTGAAAATTCTGATAGTGCAATGGAAGTAAATTAGCATTCTGTTTGTCTTATTTGAATCATCACATGAAAATGAGGATATAAAGACAGTAGAAAACATTTTTTGTTTTGATATATCTAAATAAACCTTAAATATTGGTAAAAAAACCAACTAAATTGTGATTTTATATTATCACATATTATCTTCATGAAATATATTTAAATGTATATTACAGTTGAGTATAGTTCAATCTCATAAATTTATTCCAATAAATGAAAAAGATCCACTGCCACAAACAGCAATTGTTTGATATTAAGTACAACTATTGAAGGACAAATGTCCATATTCCCCCACCTACCCCAATAACACATACAGTTTATAAAATGACAAGGTGGACAGATTTAGCCCCTTATGGATCGAAAATTAGCGCCACACTTATTTTTACAGGGCAGACAAACGTTTCAATATTTTGAAAAATAATGCAGGTACATATAGATCTAATTCAGAATATCTTCAGTTTATGCTCATTATAAGTAGCAAACTTAAATTGTTGCAGGCACAAAGTCTGCTCATGGAAGGTATGTCAAGGCCACCTAGCTCAGACCCATAATGCTTCAGAAATGCTTTTATTTTTATTTCTCAAAAGCTTCAAAATTTAAGTGTTCTTATCAAGAAAGTTACTCATGGCAAATTACCTTAACAATCTTTTTCATCTTTTGCCATATTGAAAGATTAGTACAGTTACAGTGAATTAATATCTTTGTGGAAGTCAATACTGCCAGTGCTTTGATTACATTTTGCTACTTTTATGACAAATTATATTACATTTGTCACTATTTTCTTTATGGTACAAGCATCTTACCTTCTCAAAAACCATATTATTATTGTGAATAGCTTAGAAAACTACTATGGTACCATAAAGGGTAATTAAAGATAAAAGAACAGAAGGGGATATGGGACCAAATTGAAGGGAGGAAGGTGGGGGTGTAATCTACAACTGTACAGACTAAAGACACACTTTAAAATACAATGAGGAAAAACTGAGAAGGGAATGGACAAAGTGGCAGGAACTAAGACCATTGTTAAATCCCCAAACAAACCATTGAAGCAAATGACATACTTAAAAAGGAACCATAGAATGACACTGCCTTGAAACATGGAAATAGCAGATCTTAAGAGTTTATAATATGAAGCCTTTTAAAAGCTTCTTTCCACATACAATGTAGAATTTGCCTAAAAGAAGTCCATTTTAAACTCTATATCACAAATTCAGGGTAAGACCAAATTTGAAGAGGACCATGTTTAAATATTATAAACATCAAGTTTTAATTCCGTAATTAGTTTGTTATCACAGTCTTTAACCCTTGACATGTTGGAACAGAAAATGATCAGTTCTTGCCACAAGTATAGATCCAGGCCAGCCTGAACACATGTGCACTCAGTTCAGGTTTTGTACTGTGGACAGCTCAATTTTAGTACCTGTATATTGATTGATTGATTGATTTGATTGACTTTTCCAAATACAAAGCAGGGCAAATCCATTACAGACATTCAGCAGTTTATTTTTCTAACTAACAGACAGACAGACAGGGGTATGTTTTTTCCAACAATGTTGACCATGCACTCTTCATTTGACCCTATAGCTAGTAAATTCAGTAAACTTTTGATCTACTTTTAAATCTTTATAAATGTTTATAATACTGCACGTTTGTAATGTCGCTTTTCATTGGATAATAGTGACGTTTATATAGTTTTATATACATGGCTGCTGTCGATTCATTAAAACATCTTACTTTTTTCTCTAAAAATAATGCTTGCTGTATTATAAATTCGTTATAAAGATTGTTGACATGTAATATGGCAGTATATAAACGGCTGTTTGCAATATAACCCTCCCCTAGCGGCTAAGGTTATATTTACAAATAGCGGTTTATATAGGGCCATATAACCTGTCAACAATCTTTATAACTAATAATATAACCAGTTGTTAAATGATCTTAAATAAGAATCCCTCTTAGGGCAACCATTAATTAAGACATTGCCTTAAGACAATATAGACATAATAAACTCGTAGGTTCGAATCCTGGTTCAGCCACTTTGTTTCTTTTAATTTTAAAATTGCCCATCTCTAATAATTCGTGCAAATCATTTTTTTTTTGTGTGTATACTATCTGTGTACTTTTATATTAACTACATCTGTAGTGTGTATGCGCTAAACAATATATGTTTGCATAATGTCACCATAATGAAACCATTGAAAAATTTGCGTTCTAGAGAAAAACTTGCGATTGGCCAACGTCAGTATGTCTGAGTACTTACGAAAAACATCTTGATTAAACAAAAGGAAACACCACACTACTTAAAAGTTATCCTAAAAGTAGATATATTAAAACAATTTCAAATTAATTCAATTCTTGCAATAATTATGTAAAAAAAAAAAACACACACAAGAAGTGTGACTTCATAACGCAGTGTTTGTTAGGAATCAAACCAGAGACCTTCAGATCAGTAGCCCGGCATCTATACAAAATTTAATATACCTCACCTTACTGACATGTGAAGATAACAAATATATCAATATATAAGTGTTTATTCAATGACCTTTATGAAAGTTAATGAAGATCAAGGACAATATTGTTGGACAATATTACCAACCAAAATATGCCCAGAAGTAAAAGATATTTTTTTTGGATATAGAATGTACAACTTCTGCAAATTTAATGTGAACTGGTCAGTGGGCTGAGGTAATTTAAAGGTATTCTAAGATTTTATGAACTTCCTAGAAGGACAAAGTACATGTAATTGATATTATAACTGAAATTGAAAGGTATAACAAGTAGAAATTGATTTATCAGCACCCATCAATTTTAAGCTGTGGTCTCACTTACTCCTGGCAGAGCCCAGGACCAACCCGGTAAGTTACCAGGATGATCCGGGACTATCAGTGGTGAAATTATTGTTGCGGTCACACTAATCCTGGCAGCACTACGGTAATTCCCAACCAACCAACCAGGATGCGTTCCGGACCATCAAGGCAGAGCCCAGGTGAGGCTACGGTTAATGCAGGTACTTCCCCGGTCAATCCAGGCAGACCCCTGGTAGATTTCAAATGCAAAAAATGATAACATTGATACAAATTTTTATTTAACATAATATCTATTGTTCCAGAACAGTAATTCATGATGATTTTCTTAAAAATCCTTATGCAATACTGGATAGAAGGGAAATGGGAAGGGTTTTAATACAAACAAGTGCAATCATCGCAAATTGTTGTGATTCTTTTGAAATGAACTGGGCTTTGCCGGGGCTCTACCTGGATCAACCGTAGCTCCATCGTCATCCTCCGGGGCTCTGCCGGCATTTACCGGGGCTCTGCCAGCATTCACCGGGGCTCTACCGTAGCTCTACTGGCTATATCATACCCCGGATCATCCCCGGTTTGTGCCGGCAGAGCTATGGTGCTTCCCCGGTGTAACCCTGGTCGTTCCCGGCAGAGCTTAGGATGAAGCCTGCAAAGCTTTACTTCCCGGATCATCCCAGACCACCCTGGTGATATTAAATATTTTATTCCATCTAGGGTCGAATCCTGGATGTTCCTGGATCATCCCAAACGTTGCCAGCAGAGTTACAGATGTACCCCAATTGTTCCAAGTAGAGCCCCGGATCACACCGAACGTCTACCGGGGCTCTGCTAGGATGTCATTGAGACGGTAGCTTTAAGTCAAGACACATTATGAGGACCTTGTATTCACAGTTGTTATGGTGTCTCTGTCATATTTCCAAACAAATATTTTTCAAATGCTACAGCTGAAACTGTAAACCTGCTAATGGTGTCACACATTCTATCATGCAACCAGTAAAGATCAGAGCCAGCGTAATTATCCTTTAAAACATTTTGAAATCTAAAAAATTTTGAATGATTTTGCTAAAATTGAAGATCTTAATTTTATAATATCAATTGGGGTAAGGATTAAATGCCCAGCAGCTGAAAGGGTGGCTAAACCTTACTTTTTATTTTGAAATACATGTACATGTGTCTAAGATAGCATTTATACCATTCTATAGAATAGCATATAAATTTATAATTTAAACCATCAAAAATAATTTTAGCTTATCCCTTAATATATTTCTAAATAAAGTGGTATATGCTATATTATTCTCTATTGAGGACATTCATTCTCTTCAAACTTATCACTGATTATTCTTACATTCATTTTTTTCATCATTTAAAAATGACTTGCACTTATTTTATAATCTTATTTTATAATGGCTACATATATTTTATGTGATTTAGAAGTAATGTTTTATTTTATAAAATTATCAAATCTTACAAAAAAGATATGAGTTTGAGATACTTCCGTTTTGCACAAAGAAAATAATAAAATTTGCTCAAAATTTGTGCGGAAAACAGTTGTAACTTGAGATACTACCCTTTTGCACAAAAAATATATAACAAATTATCAAAATTTTATTTGTAAAACGGTTGTAACTTGAACTTATTCAAATATCTTTTTTCAAAAATAATTTGCTTCTTTTTTATTATTTTGTTTCTAATTCCTTAACTTAAATGTATATATTTTCCTAAAATAAAACATTTTTATTCATTAACAAAAGTTTAAAAATTTTTTTTCATGCTCCTGTAAAATTTGCTGAAATTGAGTTACAACCGTTTTGCGCTAAGCCCGCGATATGTATATACATAATATTATAGTACATGTCATAATCTAATAATTCTGTATCTGATATATGTTTAAATCATTATTTTAAAGTATTTAAACAATGTTGAACTAACAGCAT